CAACCACAAACATCAGCTTGCTGTCGGCATTCTTCTCAGAGCGAGCCTCTGAGTGAAACCAAAACACGGAGCTCTTCTGGCTGCTAAAAAGAAGAGCTAACCCTGTTCCAGCTAAAACCAGGACAACGAATAATTTTGATTTGTTTTTCACTGATGTTACAGAGGCCTTTCTAAGACAGCTAAGAAGCTCAGGTCCTTTGCTAAGGCTTGGTTTGTATCGGTAGGGTGGACATGCAACTGCCAGACCTCGTTCCTGAGGACACATCTGTTGCCACGTTCCGTATGACTAAGAGGAGAAAGAAACTCAGCATTTCTGAATTTGAGAGAGCAGCAGACAAACGACTTCCCCAGAACCAAGGTAAGGCCACAGCCAAAAATCACCTTGTTCTGCGCTGCGTTTGCTGTCAGCTGATTCTTATCTGCTGCAGTTTAGTTCTGAGTCACTTCTCAGCTGCACAGTTGTACATTTGGAAGCAAAATTGGTGCAAAGGGGATAGCGGAGAAGGTAAAAGCCCCTCCTGTCAACTTGAAAATAAGTCTTTTGGAGCCAAGTTACAAATTCTGCCCTGACTTGATATAACTTCTCAGCTGTTTTTCCAACTTGATGCTCTTCGAGTTTTGAAGTATCTCCAAAGGAAGCGATCCCTGTGTTCCCCTCAGTTCCAGAAACTTGAAAATGCAACTAACTGCATACTTTTCGTTGCAATTACATCAAATAAGTGATAAAGTTCTTCTTTGAGAAGAAAGGGTCTTGCAGTTTTATAAAAGAAATAATGTTTTGTATTGAAATAAGTCTTTCCTTTAAACATAAATTTGCAAATTTGGTAAATATAACTTTCATTTTAGTTGTGGTTTAACGAAGGCAGATAAAACACCTTACCTTGGTTTACATATCCTATTGGCAGTAGCAGCTGGAGTAGAATTCAAGGGTGGGATTCAGCTCCAAATTACAGACACCGATACCTCAGCTCTGAATTATAGATGCTCTGTGCCTGTGTGTACACCAGGTGACTGAAGGTCTCTTAAAGTTTAGGGGAGAGCTGGTCACTGGGGTATGGAGTGTGATTCAGCTCATCCTGAAGTAAACATCCACGTTCGAATAATCGTGCTTGACTATAATGGAAACAGCTCTGTTTGGATCTTTTAATCTGGAGTTGAATCCCGCCCTGACCCACCTCTGGTCAAAAAATTGACTCGTCTTTCTTGAGCCTGATACCTGGTCTGAACACGTTCTGCTAAGACACAGACAGCTCTGCGAAAGCAGAGGGGATATGCTCTGGTATTTTCTAGGATGGGCACGGCTATGTCACTGCTCTCCAGACCTGACTTTGTGAGTAGAACAGGTTTCATCACCAGTCTGTGGCGTGCTTAGCTGTACTTCTAAAGCTTCCAGATGCTTTAATGTTTGGTGGAGGTTGCTGACGGGTGGTTGTGACTGAGGCCCTAGCTTAGCATCTTGCTACTAGTATGGTGAGATTAATATTGTTGAATGTGAGGACGTGTGCTGTATTAAATGATCTTTGAAATAACTTTTATTGCCTTTTCAGAAATTGCTTATTAGAATTCTCATACTCAGTTCTGAAATGCAGACAAGAAATTGTAATCACAGAATCACAGAATGTCAGGGACTGGAAGGGACCTCAAAGGATCATCTAGTCCAGTCCCCCTGCCGGAGCCCGACCACCTAGATCAGATCACACAAGAACGCATCCAGGCGGGTTTGGAACATCTCCAGAGAAGGAGACTCCACAACCTCTCTGGGCAGCCTGTTCCAGTGTTCTGTTCCCCTTACTGGGAAGAAGTTCTTCCTCATGTTTAAGTGGAACCTCCTACATTCCAGCTTATATCCATTTCCCCTTGTCGTGTCGTTGGATGCCACTGAGAAGAGCCTGGCTCCATCCTCATGACAGTCGCCCTTTCCATATTTATAAACATTAATGAGGTCCCCCCTCAGTCTCCTCTTCTCCAAGCTAAAGAGACCCAGCTCCCTCAGCCTTTCCTCAGAAGGGAGATGCTCCACTCCATCATCTTTGTGGCCCTGCGCTGGACGCTCTCCAGCAGTTCCTTGTCCTTCTTGAACTGAGGGGCCCAGAACTGGACACAACATTCCAAATGTGGCCTCACCAGGGCAGAGTAGGGGGGGAGGAGAACCTCTCTCCACCTACTAACCACACCCCTTCTAATACACCCCAGGATGCCATTGGCGAACCTGTCACCTAATTTTGTTCTTGCCAAGATGTAACTTTTGAGCATTATAGCGTAACTAGCTCTAGAAAGAGAAAGATTCATTGGGATGTTCCTGGGGACTATTGTGTAGAGGGTAATTTCTCAACTAACGTGTCACAATTTTTTTTCCCAGCTCAGTCAACGTTGGACAGCACTACTTTGGCTCGGTGAGTTTAAACTAAAACGTCTCAACTCCTGCCGTAACTCTGACTGCCGTGGTTCATCCCCTCTGGAGTTATGAAGAGCAGTGTGGGTACCTGGGTTCAGGATTAAGACCCATGTTAGTTATAACCCAGTCATCTCCCACTCTGGTGGTGGAATTCGAAGGTGTTACACTAAACACCTTGTGATTTTCAGAAATTGTGACTCTGCACTCTATGCCCAGGTTGGTCTAGCTTGTGTTGCTGCTATCGCTCTTCTTGCCCATTAGTATCATTCCTTTTTTCCTTTCATTCTTGTGTTTCCAACAACAAATCAGTACACAATATATCTCCAAATATTTTCTCTGCCTGTTAATTGACTCATAGCATTAGTTGCATCTGTGAAGTCTTTAGTCAGTTGGACTGGACTTTTAAAGGTTATTTTTTTTTTTTAAAAGGCTTCCTGGCCTTTTAAAGGCTTTTTAGCAAGTCAGAGAGCTTCTTTTCCTGTGTTGCCCGCGTACTTTGCTAACGATCCTAGCTGTGATTAGCAATTTATTTCACCTTTCTCATTGCAGCCCTTGCAGGTGATTCATAGGGCTGCGTTCTGTACTTCCCATCTTTGAATCCTCGGATCCCCCTTTTTGACTGGGCTGCCTAAAGAGGGGGACAGGAGGTAGCCAAGCACGACCAGTCTCTTTAGGATGCAAAATGCGTATGTTGAGATACATCTTTCCCTGTGCCTTGCATGTTCCTGTCTTAGTTCCCATCTCAAAAAAATGTCAGTGTGTTGGTATCTGTATTTTACTGATACTAAGCAGCTTCTAAGACTTGTGCTGAAGTCCTTCTACCACCCTGCTGTCATCTAGAGGACATCTTTACTCTCAAATGTTTGTTTTGCCTTTTTTTGTTACTTAAAATTTTTCAAATTCCTGAACCTATTGTCAGATATATTGTTGCAGCCCTCTCAAGGTAGGAGGCTCTAAAACAGTCTGTCCCCTGATCTCTGTGGTACACATCCTGATGTTAGGTGACACCATGAAATGAAACTCTTCGTTTAAGTAGACTGCCATGTAATCTTCAAGGATTTTTTGGGGGAAATTCCTCTTAGCTAAGGGATTTGTGAAATTTCTCACTGTTAGTGGCACCATGTGTGTAATCTGAGGGTAAGAAGGGAGCGTGTGAGTTTGGAAAATTATTTCTTCTCTCCTCTTTTTACAGATCTCTTCGCATGTCTCTTGGTTCCTTGGTCTCAGCAGACAGTGTTGAAAAGAGAGGCTTGCTCCGAAGGCCAAAAAATCGCAAAGCTATTGACATGGAAGCTTTTGAAGGCGGAGTGGAACAAAACATGCTGAAGAGAAAAGGTTTCTTTGTGGTGTTACTTCTGTTTCGGGAGGGAGGGCCTCACATGAGGTCATTTTTAGAAGCAGTTACTGAAGTGTGATCTATTTTACCATGTAAAGGCTACTGACACAGTCACAGAAATCCAGTGTGATTTGGGAGGCAAGATTAGGATGAGGCTCTGCATCTGTAGTTGGGTGGATTCTATGCACTTAAATACGTGCTCCACCCAGTTTGGTAATTTATACCACAGGAATCGTATCCTGTTTGGGATCGTGTTCCTAACTGTAGGTGCTGGGGATATGGTTTGATAGAGGAAGTTAAAGGCACTGAAGTGTGGTGATACAGTTTGTGATTGATCTGAGGAGGATGACTAAAATTTGCTTGAATGACTTAAATTTTGGATTATGCAAGTCCTGGTTATAAATGCGTGTCCCTACGACCTTGAACAGGTTTTCACATAAACCTTGTTTTAAAACTTTCCCTAAACAGCACGGAACTATCTTGTGGACTCACAGACAGCGTCTGGGATTCGAACAGCCTTGCTGACAAGCGATACAGAAATCGTGCTGAGTAACACGGAGCTCTTTGTTCAGCCTCAGTTTGATGAACAGAGCCAAAATAAGCTCTCTGCCTTTGAACCCCAGCTATCGGATTCAAAAACTCCAGCACAGAGAAGCAAGATTTCTGATGCAGCTCAAGAGGAAGCAAGGCTGGTGAGCCTGGTATCCAGTGTGGGCACAAATAAGGGAAGGACCCAAAGATCTTCTGAGGACTTAATCCTTGATCGTGAGCATGTTGACAGAATGACTCATATGCCTCCAAAAACACCCTCAAACCAGCGAGGAGATAAGCAAGATCATTCCCAGCAGAGTATCGCAAGGGAGCAGCGTTCTGTTTCAGAAGAGGTGGTGGCTGGCAGTGAGTACTATGGGTTAGGACTTGGGGCTTAGCAGGTATTATCTGAAATTACAGAATGGTTGAGGTAGGAAGGGGCCTCTGGAGATCATCTTCTCCAAGCCGTCTGCTCAGGCAGGGCCACCTAGAGCAGGTTGCCCAGGACCGTGTCCAGGTGGCTTCTACATGTCTCCAAGGATGGAAAGTGCAAACTCTAGGCAACCTGTTCCAGTGCTCAGTAACCCTCGCAGTGTAAAAGGGTTTCCTTATGTTCAAACAGAGCCTCCTGTGTTCCAGTTTGTGCCTGCTGTCTCTTCTGCTGGCACTGGGCACCACTAAAAAGAGCCTGGCTCTGTCTGCTTTACACCCTCCCTTCAGATACTTGCATATATTGATGAAATTCCCCCTGAGCATTCTCCAGGCTGAACAATCCCAGCTTTTTCAGCCTTACCTCCTAGGAGAGATGCTCCGGTCCCTTAACTGTCCTGGTGGCCCTTTGCTGGGCTCTGTGAGTGTGTCCACCTCTCTCTTGTACTGGAGAGTGCAGAAGTGAACACCGTAAACTGGTCACAAGTACTGTGTGATAAGGAGATAATATGTAGGAGCTGTAGACAGAGTTGGAAGGAGTCTCAGGAAGTTACCAGTGTAGACCTTTACCCTGGTAAGGTCATTTAGATGTCGTAGTTAACCACTTGACTGTCTGCAGGGCCTTAAAAATCCCTGGGACAGAGGTAGTCACCTCCATGGTTGCTCTGTACCGATGCTTTGCAAGTCCTGTCACTTGCCAGTTTTGCCCTGGTGGCTGGTATCTCTTTTCTGCATCCATTTCCCTGTAAATACCCTGTCCTGGCTGTGTAAATGGGAACACGTTTTCCTCAGGCCCCAAGGCATGGTTGTAACCCTCAAATTTTCTGCCTAGTGACCCTGGGGCAGCTAGCCAGGACAGGATCTGCCGTAGTAAAGAACTTTGATCAGTTCTGCAATCAAAACTCCTGATGCTTTCCATGAAGTATGGACAGCTAGTGTTTCTTTTTTGTTTAGCGTTTTTTTAATGATCCTTTGTCAAAAGCACCACAGAAATGATATTTAAAGAATGGTTGGTGTATTCAGGACTGCTCAAGCCAGGAGAGGAGTTCTTGCCGTGGAAATCTTAGTTAAATGCCTGGTGGACTGTCCCACCATACTCTGCTTCTGGAGGGCTGTCTGCAGCAAGCTTGGTGGGAAGAGCTGTTTTCAGAGGGCAAGGGAACAGATGAACGGAAAAGAATGTTAGTTGCTCTGAAGAGTCCAGTGGTAGGTATTTAGGGGAAACGTAGATAATGTGAAGAAAAGCGTGGAGGACATGGAATAGGGGACTGGAGGAAATGGGGGGAAGATGAGGGGGAGTGAGAGCATATCTTCCAGATGCTGCAGTTTGTAAGGCGTTAATGGCAAAAGTTACCCGTTACCTACGTAGTTGTGCTGGTTTACCAGAGGGAGCTGATGTTTTCCTCAGTGTGACCGGAAATGGTCGCAAGGACTTTCTCAGCAGGTGCCAGTGTTTCACGGTGTGAACTCCCCAAACTGTTTCAAGTACAGGAGGAGCGTTTCCTTGTGTATATTCCTGTCTGCTCAGTTGGTTTTTCACTTATCAGCAAAGCTAAAAGAAAGTTTAAAAGCTACTGGGGGCACATTAACGCTCTCAATTTCCAGCTGTTACTAGATGGAGTCCCTCTTTGCAATCCAGAAGGTCAAATAAAGCTTTGGGATCCCCAGGCACCCTAAAGCCTAAGAGATCTTTCGGCATGTATTTGAGAGAAGTTGTGTCCCATATAATTGAAGACCTAGATGTAAGCGGTGCAGAAGAAGAGATGGCTAATGCAGTGAACGAAGCGGAACAGGAAAAGATGTTCAGAGAGGGTAAGAAGCTGCCAGGGAACAGAATACTTTAATCTGATTAAACCCAAGAGTTTTTCAGGTGACTTGCAGAGTAAAGCTAGACTTTATTGTGCAGTAGCTGCTGGAGATAATTTAATTCAGGTGATATCAGAGACAGCATTTCCAGACACGCTTTCTAAAAGTAGGCTGTGACTTGCTTGTGTGCTTTCTTGTCCATATTTGCTTTTTTCACAGTGACTGCAAATTAAATAAATGTTCATGTTTTTTTGGTAGGTCTGTAGTGTTTTTTTGGTAGGTCTGTAGTACTGCTCATCTTCCCCTGGGAAAGATGACTAGCTCGCTCTTGGCAAGGAACACATCTGGCTAATCACTTTTTGTTTGCATACATTCTAATGCTTTGCTCCAATTAGGTAAGCTATGTTGGCCATTCTTTCTTCAGTACTAACCAGCATCGTTTTCTCTAAAGCCAAGGGCTTGAAGGTTGCCATCCCTTAAGTAACTGCCACTAGGAGGCTGGGCCTCCATACCTCCTTGTTTCTGGAAGTGAGCAAGTCATGCCAGTTGCCTGCTTTCACAAGCACGTTCTCAGTTTTCTCTCAAATCCTTTTGCCTCAGAATAAGATGGTAAAAGCTCTGCACAGGTGCTGAGGGTGGCAGGTGTTAGCCAGTTGTTACATAAAGCTTTGGGTACATGTGGACACAAATTCCCATGTTTTGTTGAATTTCATTTTCCAGACTCCAGTTTAGGATTCTTTTTAAGTTCCTTTGACAGCGTCTGGAAATGAGAGAAGACTGTTGCCATGTGGGTTTAGCTTTCCCTGGGCTTAATTACGTCTGAAGTTTCATATGAATTACCTTACGGCAATATGGAAAGTGAACAGTCCAGAGCACCAACACTTTTGTTATGAGAATTTTAAACTGAATACTGGCAGCGCCCATAAGTAATTGCTTGCACATACCAGGTCTATCAGCAAAATTAGTTATGTTGCCTTTTTATCATGATAGTACAGCCTTTTGTTTTAAGCAGTTCTTTCAGAGTACTTTGAGGCAGCAGACTCCAAGTTTACAGTTGCCTAAGGTTGGCATCCTGTAATCTTCCGTGATTCTCGTCCTGTTATAGTTTTACTTGGGTGCACCTGTGGAGCGTGAAGTTTAAGTGGGACGTGACTTGAGACTGATGAAAGTCACCTCAGAATTGTTGCAGTTCTGTGAACACCAGCGTAGAGCTTGGGGGACAGTCAGAAAAGCAAATAACGTGTCAAAATTATTATGAAAGGAAGAGATGACAAAACGTCACTGTGCCACTACAGAAATTATTGTCATGCTCGCCTTTTGAATACTGCGTGCAGTTCTAACCTCTCCGTCTCTAGAAAGATTTAACAGAACTGGAAAAGGTGCAGATAGAAACAGTTTTACCATTAATGATAATCAAATATACGGAGTGACTCCTGTACATTGAGTGACTAAAGATAATGACTGCTCAGCCTGGGAAAAAAAAAAAAGGCAATTGCTGTGAGTGTGAAATATGAGAAGTTTAAGACAAAAAGCCTTGAGCAGCACGGAGGAGATGATTCAGCAAAATCGAAACAAGCAGCTCCCTGATCTGTCCGTGCAGAGAGGAGGAACTGGCACTGCCAGCTGGCAGGTTGTGCCAGACTACAGGAGGTATTGCTGCTAGCAACAGGTGCAGTAATCAGTAGAAATTAAGACTTGAATGTGTCAGTAGCATCTGGTACCCCTCTGTTCAAGTACTGTATCCCAGCAGGGATCCAGTAGTGTGGGAGACTCACTGGTGCCTGTCTGCCTTAGGCAGTGTGACTGTAGAGTTGGGCTTTTGTCTTTCCCCACAAACCTAGTTCATGTTTCACTTCACTTTAGGCAAGGTTTTGCCCTGCACTGGTGTAGGGAGCCCAATATTCTGGTTAGTGAGATGGGTGATACTGATTTTTTTTGCTCCACCTTTGGCCAAATTTCCTTGTTCCCTTCACTGGGGCTTGGGGCTCCCAAGGCATTGACACTTTGGAGTGTGAAACCTCCCAGTCACTGGAGAGGATGGTAAAAATCCACTTTTTTTTTTTTTCTGGTTCTGGGCTCAGCCAAGACTTCCAAACCCTTCAGCAAGTGACTACTATGAGAGTTCCCAGTAAGATTTTTCTGAATAATTAGCTGTGTGGATTTCTGAGCTACAGACGTGGACCACAGATTTAGTATGTACGGAAAAGGAGTGTTTGAGTACTCCTCAGTAGCTGCTTTAGTAGCTGAGGTTTTTAAAGACATGCAGATCATGTCCGTTTATTTCTCCTCATCCTGCCTGCTAGAGGCTTGTCCAGGATGTTTAAAACCACTGCCAGGCACTCTCCTCTTCCTAGTGCAATGGGTCTCTTCCAAAACTGGTTATTCAGAAAAACTAAGGAAATGGGGAGCAGAACCTGTGGGTAAACTCCATGTATTGTTAGATCTAAAGGAAGAGAAATTGTGTGAAAGACCAATCACCAAAAGTGAGAGTAGGTGCAGAGACGGCAGATCTGGAGGAACTCTGCTTATGGATAAGTAAAATTCCTTCAGTGGGATCTGATGCACACCCGAATTAGGTGGCTGCAGAGCAAACACAGGCAAAGTTTTGAGTTTCTCAGCTGTAAACTTTTGGAAGGGAACTGCATCTGCTTCCTTTATTTATAGCGTATGCCCGTTGCCGAGTTTGCTTATCCTGAGTAACTTTTCGCGGTTGGTAAACGGTATGCTGGTGTCTGATTGAGAGCTTTTTTTGTAGGGAAGATTGATGACAGATTTTCCTATTTTAGCTGCAGAGCCTCCTGCAAATGCTGGATATTCTGAACGTTTGGAGAGGAAACTGTCCAAAAAAGCAGAATCGCTGCAGAGCCTCCTGCAAATGCTGGATATTCCGAACATTTGGAGAGGAAACTGTCCAGAAAAGCAGAATTGCAGATAACTGCGGCACAGCATGCCGGAGTTGGAACAGAAGTGGCTCCTTCAGAAGAAGAGGGAATAGCAGGAGGCAGCTTTGAACGCCAGGACTCTCTGGAAGCTGGTGAGGATAACCTCTAATACTGAGGTCTTTTCAAGCTGCATTATTGGCACCAGTGCTGGGAGAGAGACTTGTTCTTGATTGTTCTGCAATCTGGGCTAGTGCTGAATAATTAGTTTGATATTTAGGTAAATTTAGCTAAACGCTAAAGAACATCAAACTAATTTTGGCATTTTAAACTGCAAAACTGCGTTCTGCTCAAATGGAAACAAAAATTATATTGGCAGTACTGCTTAGAAATATATGTTTGTGGAAAGCTTAATTACAATTTACTAATGAGAGTTCCAGAATCAGGCAAAGACTGATAAAACTTGAAGACCTTCTGAATGTGTTGGCAAATTGGGATCTCCCGAGTTACTTTTCCTGAATTGCAGGGTCTTCTGTGTTCAGCATTCTGCACTAAGGCTTTGGTAAGATCTCTTTTGAGATAAAAGTTCTTGTTAAAGGAAGTCCATTTAAAAGGAGCTCAGATAAAAATTTCACTCAAATCTCATGGGTTTCTCTACATTACCAAGCGCAGTTTTTTTTTTCTTGTGACCTCTGCACACCTAGATGTAGCAGAGGGAAAAGTTGAGGATTCATCAGTGCTTTAGCTTATCTAGCTTAGTGTATTGACACCCTAATCTTTGGAAATAGGAATATAATAGGTGGCAATGTTGTCAAGAATGGAAAGCTGTGTTTTGTTTCTATGAGTGCTCAGAAATTTTGGCCATGATACTTGTTTCAGTGATGTATTTTTGCTGTTTTGGAAATCTAGAACACAAGATTGCCAAAGGTGTTGGAGCTGGAAGTCCGGACAGGCATTCTCATGCTTTTTCCTCCTCTGAAAAATCTGGGATGAAGCCATTAAAAGAAGCTGTTGAACAAGCAGATGAACTAGAAGATGAGGCTATCATGGTAGAATTGGATGGTCTGGAAGAAGAGTCTACTGAGGATGAAGCCGAAGACCCTGAGAGTGAAGGTAAGAAAACTGTTGCAGCAGTAGCATAAGGCCGTTGGAGGATTTTTTTCCCTGCTATCTCTCAATAGATTGAGGAACAACAAGATTAATAGCATTATTAACCGTTTAGTCCATCAGATGGTCCAGGGGACACTGTTGGCTGCTATTCCTAGGAACAAATTGTTACTGGCTCACCAGGTGCTTCAGGGACCTAGATCATCTTGTACTTTTTGAGGCGAAGGTAAAGGAAGTGCACAAATAGACAAAACTGCGTGCACAGTGATTTTATACAGTGACACAGGGATATCCTCCATCTTACTCTTCCTTCCTGACTCCTTACTTCATGCTGACTTTTTAATGTCTTCGCATTAAACTGCAGTTTCCACAGCCATTTACGTGGCTCCAGACTTGAAACCTAATTTAGAACCCCAAATTTTGTATATGTAGTTACAGATTTCCAATTAACCAGAGTAGGCTGGCTTTCCAGAAAGCTGAGAGGAAGTCTGTGTTTCTAAACAGTTCTTCAGACGCTGCACCAGTCTGCTCTCTTACCCTGAGAGTGCTTATGCCTTTTGGAAGAACGTATATCTTGATCAAGGCCAAGTTTGGGAATGCACAGAGTGGATTTTAGCTGTGGCTTTTGGGACAGATCTTAAAGGCTTTTGAAGTACAATACACTCTGAAATAAAAAGCTGAGCTAAGGACATCCTACAGGAATCCAGTTGCCAGGATTTGAGGCATTGTGGGGAAATACAGCTGTGGTGTATTTCCAGTATATATATATATATATATGTATATCAGTACGTATGTGTGCAGTGTGGAAGGCACAAAGGTGGTGGTTGAACTGGTATGCTTTTGCCGCAAGGAAAACTGTAGGTGTTCTTAGGGTGTCTACAGTAGTGTGTCAATGTGCTTCTCTTTAGCACAGCTGTATGAGATGGAAAGATCTTGATGAAGACCGCTGCTGATAGGGTGGAACAGTAAGAGTAGCATCTCACAGGTGTCATTGGACAAGGAGAGGAAGAAAAGCAGGAAGGTGAAAAATAGTGTGCTCTTGCCATAAAACTTTCCTCGGGAACCTCACCGTAACTAGTCTCTTCCCCTGCATCCTGCTCCCTGTCCCTCCAGCGCACAGAAATATTTCTTCAGAAGCAGCTCATCCAAGGACCCATGGTAGTTCAACCCAGCCCTGCTTTCTCTGAGAGACTCCTGACCTTGGAGTTGTGGAGTTTAACTCTCAGTAGTACTTGAGGCCTCTAGTATTTGGGCTTGTCTTCTATAACGGGGCAGGTGTCCTGGCTCTTGGGGAGGGTTGTGAAGTTGACACCACTACCAGATACGCTGGATTCTTGGGCTGCGCTCAGCTTGCAAGGGAAATGTGCAGACAAGAAGCCCTCCATGACCACCCCTCTTCTAGACAGGAAGCTGCTCAGTATTTAAAGTCTGTTAACATTGTTTTCTTTCCTGCTCTCGCTTGTTAAGAAGTGAGAAAGTTCAAGAGTGAAGTTAATGGATGCAGGTTAGACTTGGAGGAGACTGAGATGGGTAGTTCACAGCAAAGAAGAGGTGAGGTACTGACTATAGCCTGAGCCTTGGCTGGAGGGAATTTATGCAAATCTGTGAGTATGGGAGGTGCTCATAGACTGACCCTTGTACCATGGTTTTGTTGGTCTGCTCATCCCTGTGTTCAGGAGAGTTTGCCACTGATTTAGCAGGATGGCAATGAGGTAGCTTGCAGGCTTTGAAGTTCCCTCTGGGAAAAGAGGCTGCAGCTCCTTAGTGGCTTAAGTCGACCTCACCACCTAGCCCAGAGCATGTGTTCCTGCACCCTGCCCCGCCTGAGGTCTGGCTTGGAGGCTGACGGGCCCCACCTGGCAAAAGCCACTGGCCTGCGTGGCAGCAGATGGGGTGGGTGGAATCGCCACAGCCTGAGCGGGCAGTGTGGCACTGGACCACGTGTGTGGAAAGCTGGCTAGGCTTCTGTCTGCTGCCACAGCACTGCTTGCTGCAGCTCCGAAAATAGAGTTCAGTTCCTCAAGCACTCTTTTTCCCCAGAGGTTTCCATGAAGACACCCGCGTTTGTCCGTGCGGCAGCCTGCAAGCCACTGCTGCCAACTCCACATCCTGCAAAGCCTGCTACTCCCAAGTAAGTGTAAGCCACCTTCAGCAGTGTGTCTGGGGGCGTGAGTACCAGGGGGGAGAGCCGAGCCGTTTGTCCGTCTTGTGCCCCATCAGCTGGAGCAGGGGAAAGCAGTCCTGAAGTTCTCAGTTCATTCACCGCTTCAGCAGTTGAATAAGAAGTTCTATCCAGGGAATGTCAGTACCCTCCCGGGGCAGATCGGATGCCTCAAGTCTTTCTAGTGAGTGTTCTTTTAATATTTTCTTATGCTGCAGGCCAAAACCTCTTCCTAGGAGTTTTTCAACTGCTAAGCCACCCTGGAGCCATAGACTCCAGTATGGGATGCAGAGGCCCCTGCAGAAGAGAAGTTGTTGCAATTATGTTACGTTGATCACACGAAATGACATATTTGTGTTGATGTTTAAAGCTGTGTGCAGTTGTCATGTGCTGAGTATAAAATGAAGCTCACCCAGAGGCAGAAAGTGAACCTGTCCTCTGTGTTACTGCAAATGAATTAACGTTTGTCACCTTCGTAACTAGAAATTTGGTGGAGCTGTGTGCTGCATCAGAACTGCCGACAGTGGGCCCTAGGGAACAGGAGGAATTTTCTAGCCCACGACTCTAGATTTTTGTTTGTTGAAGCAATAAAAATAAACCCAAATTCTTTTGCCCTTTACTGCTGTGAACAGAGATGAGTGATGCTTACAGAAGGTGCTGGATGACTGCTCCAATCGTGAAGAGTAAAATATATTTATAAAATAGAAAAAAGAGTCTTTGACACTGTGCTGAAGTGGAACTATGTTATAACTGAATGAATGCAGATTTGCTTTGGGATTTTGCACTGGGACGTGCTTGTTTTATACATAGGGAATGTCTATGTACCAGTTCCTCTCTAGAGAATGTTAGTCCTTGGTGGCAAAAGAAGTCTGTGTGTTTGGATGCATGTTCTTTGTAGGAATTTCTGGATGTTCATAGACTGGCAGATTTTGGGGCTGTGCTGAGGTAACAGGTGATCATAATTACAGGGTCAGGGCCTCGATTACAGGAAGCTGTTGCACAAAAAGCACGTGGTTTGTCTGCACTTTATGGAATACAGTTTGGCTCTGAGTTGGCCTTCTGGCTTCCTGGGATAGCAATGCTCAGGTTAAAAGCTTGAGGAATATTCCAGGTTATGTAGTGGGACAATAACCATGTGAGAGCCACGGTTAAGGCATTCTGCTACAAAATAATCTCTTTATACTGGTACAATTCTACTGTGATCAACTGTACCAGATTAGGGCCACAGAACTTTACGTTTAGAAACACCAGAATCTCATAGTGTCACTAATCTTCAATTTTTGCCCCAATCTGTGAACCAAACATTCGTATCTAATCATTCACAAACTGGTAAAGTGAGGCACAGAAACAGTAACGAAGATGACTTGAATCATGGCTGGTTTTTTTTGTCTCACTACTACATGTACTACATCTCTGGGGCCGATAGCCTCTCCCTGCCCCTGAGGTTCTGGCAGAAGAACATGCAGGTGGGCTAGAGAGAGACTCAAATGATACACGCGCTCCCTCTGTGGGTTACCTTGAGATTCTAAGTCTTCTCTGTTGTTTTCCAGTTGTTTACTGAGTGAGTCCAAGGATTTCACTTCCCTTTTTCATGTGATGTTTTTCTTTTTAGAATGGAAAACAGTTGTCATTTCCTTTGGGACTCTAAGTCTTTTTTAAGAAAAAAAAACACAAAGAAACTAAAACAACCCACCAAAAAAACCAGCCATCCAAATGAAAAAACCCAAAACAAACCCCACTAAACAAAATGTTTGTAACAGTGTAATGACATACCCTGCAGTCCACACTCCGCATGCAGAGGTGACCTGTGGATGTCTCAAACTCTGGGTGTTCCCAGAGAGTGAATACTACAGGGCTGCAGTGAAAACTGCGTTTCTGTACTGGAGAGAACTCTGGTTTGCTGATGAATTGTCACACCAGCAGGCTTATCTCAGGAAACTTGAGCCCAGATTGTTTCTCCCAAGGTCATAATGCCCCGTGAACCATTTGCAAACTGTACTTCATGGGCACGAGTGTTCTGAAGAATGGGAAGGGAGAAAGAATTAAGAACTTGAGGTGGTTCTTACCCCTTCCAGTTTGCCCAGACTCAGCCGAGTGCTCTCTGCCTCTTCCCTGTTTGTTTGTTTGATGTGGGAATTTTCAGTTTCCCTCCAAGGTCTCTCCTGCAGCCGCTGCGGGCTAAGCCAGTTCCGAAGAGCTCAGGAGCGTCGCGGAGGAAAACACGTGAGCCTGAAGTACCAAGTAGTTTGATAAAGAAGATATTTAGCCATTATGCGAAAATGCCAGTGGCCAGAGATGCGTTCAAAATTGTTGAAAAATGGTAAGTAGAAACAAACTGCTCCTCTTCTCACTCTTTTTAGTGTCTTTTTAAATTCTTTTCTCTCCTGAATAACGAACTTGTCAGGAGTGCTGCTGACAAGCTGACAGCTCTCCCTGTTCAGCTGGGGGAGTCATGGGAGGTCTGATTAAAATGAGGACAGAAACGTGCTGGGTGCTTTTGGTGCTGTGGGGCTATCTGTGACCAGCACAAACTTGCAGGAGCTTCTGGGTTTCATCCCGACCAGTAAAAATTGCACCATTCACAATCTGGTCTAGCTGACAGCACACTGTTACCATCGGCACTCTGTGTGGGTGAGATGGCTCTGGAGAACAGTCAGTGTTGCTGGGCAAGGTGAAGCTGTTCCAGCTGTGCAGGGTTACAGCTGAATCCAGGTGTCTCAGCTTTTTGAATCCATAGACCATGTTACCTTCAGGAGAAAAACCAGCAGGTTGTTTGAACAGTGTAATTGTAGGAGCTCATAATCTAATCAGTCCTCGATGCTGATTTTTCACTTGTGTTAACCCCTGTTCTTGCATGTGTGGGAGTTTTAGGAAAGGTTCAGGTTGTCAAACATGCAGCTGTTTCACAGCTGTCTTGGCTGTGAAGAGGAGCCATACTTTGTTCCGTGGGCTGGAGAGTTTCTTCTCTCGCGGTTTCCCCTGGCAGGCTGTGAGCTGCACAGCGAGCAGCTGTAGTAGTGCGTCTTGCCCTGTAGAAGTTCA